TTTTTTAACTTCAATAATTTATTTTAAATAAATTTTACAATATTTTTAAATTTCAATATGATATCAGAATGAAACATTTTGAGACTTCTATATTTCTTGTTTTTCATTCTTTCTTCTTGATCGTCCATTCCTTGTCCATCCTTTAATCATACTTTGGTTAATTTTGAAAATAAAAATAAATGAATTTTTTGGATGATCCTGCAGCTAGCCAAATTGCAAGAGAAAGAATTATTTTTCCGAGCCCTTCATCCCAGACCTATTCTGAGGGGAGCAAGGTCACTTCCCACTGCCCTTGTTTTGATTTCTATTTTGCTTGGGTCAGCTGAAATACATTTAGCTTGCGTAAGCTGCTGTTCTACACACTTTCATTGAAATTTTCTTGGAGGCAGGGAGGGGGGGGGGGCGTGCATTTTCCAGTTTTTTATTTTGAGTAGGACATTTGTACGTAGTATGAATAATACTTGCCGCAACTCTTTAATTCAATAATGTATGGACATAACAAGTACAGAACTAAATTCATATTTTTAATTTCAGATAAAACACTCTGGTATGTTGAAGACGACATGAGCTATCTAGTCTAATTTATCTAAGGCGCAGTATAAACAAACTTTTGCAGAAATGTTTAAAAATTAAATTTTTGTGGTTTCTTTTTAGCACCAAAACCTTAACTGTAAAAAATTTATTAAATACATTTCATTTAATAGCATTTTGCTTACTTATCTGTTTCCTCGTCAGTATCTGACAACATCAAATCTTTGGAGAGACGAGCCGTCGACGATTCTCGTTCTCCCTCATCATCATCATCAGAGCTTTCTGACTCACTTAATTCCTCGGTTTCAGGTCTCCTGGTATTCCGAGTGTCCAGATTGGTTTTACTAGTTCCAACCATGTCATTAGAACCTCCACATTGATCAGATCTATCCGCGGAATCAGTTTTACATCGGAGGTGTCGAGGAACCCATATCTTTTGAACTTTACGTCCTCCAATATACATGTTCTGGCCTCTATGTACAGTCTAATTCAAATATATCATTTGTCTCAAAATTAAGACATTTAAAATCTAAAAA